CTATCTATCTATCTATCTATCTATCTATCTATCTATATATATATATATATATATATATATATATATATATATATATAGATAGATAGATAGATGAATAGATAAGAGGATAAACAAAAACTCTCAGCATTCTTATCTGAATTTTGATCTGTTGTCTTCACTCTAATTTTCGGCCTACACATCTGAATCAAGTAAGTTGAAAACAAAACATATTAAAAATATAAATATTTGTTGTGTAAAAGGAATGCACTTTTCATATATGAGGGTACTGAGATATGTAACTCTAAAAATCTATAGATGACTTTTGAATATACACTGTAACCCGGATATAAGAGAGTTGTCGGGACCGGAGAAGAAGTATCTTATATCCGGGTTTTTCTTATATTCGGGTTTAGTGTATTTTATATATATTAACACAGGCTCTAATTTGGGACCAGAGAAAATCTCTCTTATATCCGGGTTTCTCTTATATCCGGGTTACACTGTATCTAAAACGAGCGTCTTTATCTATCTATCTATCTATCTATCTATCTATCTATCTATCTATCTATCGCAATCGATTCATTATCTATCTATCTATCTATCTATCTATCTATCGCAATCGATTCATTATCTATCTATCTATCTATCTATCTATCGCAATCGATTCATTATTTATCTATCTATCTATCTATCTATCTATCTATCTATCTATCTAATGGCTCTTGCGTTATTAGCCATTTAAAGTTTTCCCTAATTTCAAAAACATATAAGCGAGCCACAGAATAGTTGCATTATTCATATATAGGGTATTCAATATAATAGGTAAAAATTATATTAGACAACTAGAAATTTCCCTGATGTGTCCACCCTTTCATTAATTTTACTGTATTTCTCATGATTCCTATAATTAGTCAGATTACGCGTGCTACAAATAGGTAATGTTTTCATGAAAATACTATAAATACAGAAAGCACAAAATTTACAAAAACATCTAGAAAAATATCAAAAATGTGTCCGAATGACAACAAATACAATGTTAATGTTAACTGTATTATCCATGTTTTGAAACTAGTCTTAGAATTTGTTTATACATTGATTTTCTGAGATGCTACTTTATATGAAATAGAAATCACCGTCTTCAAAATAGCAGTCCACATTTCAGGTTTGTTACCAAATTTTGGGCTGTTAAATGAAACCATTCTCTTTAGAATGTATCACAAGTTTTCAATCAGATTGAAAATGGAATGAAAAGTCTCGCCACTTCATTAAATTAAAAAAAAATGTTATCCAGATATTCATTAGTTTTCTGTTTCGAAGTCGATGGAATAATGTCGTACATAAAAAAATGAACTTCTAAAATATTTGGCTTCACCGTGAAACAATGGTTCCATCAAATTGTAGACTTTATGCTTTGAGCTTATATCTTAACACCACGCGGAAATCGACATAGTCGCATCGATCGACTACCAATAATCCACATGAACACTGCATTCTAGACGTCTGATTCGTCGAAGTGTTTCTTTTTCCCCATCCAGTAAGCTTGTATTCCAATCATCTCGTACATCAAGGTTGACACTCCTCGATAACAAAAAAAAAAAAAACACATTTCAAGAATGGGTCTTTTTGTCTATGGTTTCTTATTTCATTTGATTTTCTTAATGAATCTCTTTTAAAGGAGTTTTTTTTTCATTTTGTCACTTGATTTAGAACCCTTTGTAACTTTTTTAAAGAATTTCTCACCTCCATGGCTCGACTAAGACATATTTGTTAAATAAAATCTCTTGATACGAGGCACAGATCTACTCGCCTTTGTATTGACGATCTCATCGACATTGGTGACTTCAAATGCGTCATTGGGATTTTAAGGCTTCTGATTTATTTATTCACAAATATAATGCAGATGTAGCAATCAAAAGCTTTCTAATCAGGAGAGTTACTATTGTGCATACTGGTGTTACACTTATAGTGAGCAATTTCGGGTGACCACTTCTGGGCATCGTCAAGCATTATGGGTGGAAAAGTTATCTGCTTGAATATATACACTTTTCCCAAATCCAAATCCTCTATCCAGGATTTTTACCATTATATCAGCACCTATTTTAGACTGTGGCATTAGTCTGTAGATTGTGAGAAAAGATTTGCATTAATATCACATGGCCATAATTTTTTAGTGTCCCCAGGAAGATCATAAAAATGTGAACTTGATTTACATCACCGGGGGTACGTTCTGTATCATCTGATACTCCTAATTATGATTTTAGTCGAAGATTTTTCTTTTTGTTTTCGGGGAAGAACGAACGTATGCCGGGATTCTCTGGGTTTTTATGATTGTTCATCAATGGCTTCGCTAGGATAACAAAATTGACCTGTGTCTTTTCCGACATATAATACCATTTCCTCATCTTGTAAAACTTGTAACTATTGTGCACCACACGTCAAATAATAAACTCTATTAATTCAAACAACTAGACCACCAAATGAGAATTGAACTCACCACACAGAATAATTTCAAGGAAAAGTAAAGATTATTCAATTCTTTGTTTTTCCTTAACTATTGCCACAACTTTTTTGGTTTAGCTAATTTACCGTTTTTTAAGATATTTTTAATGTCCTGTCGTTTCATGAATTAAATGATTTTGCTTATTACATATGAATTCCTGGTATAATTATTATATATGAATTGGTTTGCATTCAATTTTGATTATCATATATTATTCTTAAACATTCAAGGGGAAATTAAGGACGGGTATTTTTTACCTTCGTCATGGTTTAAACTTCAAAGCTTTCTTTCTTTTAGGGTATAGAGTCCAATCTATTCTCTTAAGCTATAAAGTTCATTCTCTATTCAAGGCTATAGAGTCCAGTCTACTCTCGTATCTAACCCATAACGGTGGGAGGAAGAGACGGCGTTTTTCCCAGTGGCATTATTGCGAATGAGAACGCAATCGATAGCCAGAAATTGAAATCGGCTTGCCAATTCAATATATCATGTCTCTATCCATCAGACGACACACGCACCTGTTTTTTTTTAGTCATACAATCTGCAATGATTTGTTATTAAACATTAATCATTGACGAGACGCATATGTGCAAATCAGTGTGAATTTGTGCTTATATATCAGGACTTGCAGAAAATATCTTAGCCTTATCAAGTACGGATTAAAAATGATTATTCATAAAAAGATGACTTTCATTCATATATCTACCGTGCTATTTTTATATAGACAGTATCTATCTATATGTCAAGATATGTACTGCACATTAAGTTTACATCATTAGCAAAATTATTTTAAACTCTAACGTTTAATCATAAAATAATATTTTTTATAGACAAATATATTTAAAAGAAAATTATCATCTCTAAATTAACTATGTTCATCAGATAACTTGTTGAGGATTTGATAGAAATTAGATCCATCAAAATCCGATTACTGCGTTATGTGAGCCATTTTAATCTATTACTAACAATGAGAAGAAAAGCAGAACTCTTCAAACACGCACGTCTATAATTCTGCGACTAGCAATTTCATCCTTTTACTCAATATTTATGAGGAAGAATGTATGAGAGGTCACCTATATTGCTAAACGTCGCCGTTTGAATATTTCTTTACTGCATGAAACGGTCACTTGCAGAACTATACTGGTGCCTGTCTAAAGACTAAATTCTTATTATTATCCTCGCATATGTTTTTTTTTTTTTTTTTTTTTTTTAAGCATTTCACCCCAAGCAAGGCGGGGAGCCACTAGGACGCAAGGGGTTACAGAAAATAGGAAGATCAGATAGGAGTGATAGATGAAAGGATGAGGGTAGTAGATAGATTAAGGCAACTGGAGATGTCGATTGGCATTACACTTGAATAGCTGGAGATTATAACTCACAGGGAAACAGGAGAAGGGAAGAGAGTTCCACAGGCGAGAGGTGTGAGACATGAAGCTATTAGAGTAGAAGAGACGGCTACATTTATGAGTTTCGACCGTGAAGGGGTGAGAGCGGGATGCCAGCCTCGTAGGGCGCTTGAACTCATGAAGTCTGGGAACCAGCGAATGCAGCTCCTCGGAGCAATTTCCATGAAAGTATTTGTAGAACAGACAGAGGGAGGCGACGGTGCGTCTGTGAGAAAGTGACTGTAGACGAGACGCCAGGGCAGGGCCAACCATATTGCATATCCGCTTCTGGAGCCTATCAAGAACTCCGAGGCAAACAGAAGGGGCGCCAGACCATATATGGCAGCAATACTCCATGCAAGGGCGAATTGCAGATTTGTATATCTGGAGGATCGACTCAGGGGAGAAAAACTTCCTAGCGCGGCTCAGGGAGCCAACTTTCCTCGCAGTGGATGAAGCAATTGACTCGATGTATTTATTCCATCTCAGGTCAGCAGTCAACGTGAGACCGAGAAGCCGCAGAGAGTTGCTCTCGAGAAGTTGAGCGTCAGACATTCTAATGGAGGGAAGGGAAGGCTCTCTGTGGTGATTAATAGAGAGCAGTTTTGTCTTCGAAGCGTTGAAGTTGACCAGCCAATTCATGCCCCAATTCACAATCGATTGGAGGTCCTTTTCGAGACGCACGGCAAGGTGAGTTTTGTCAGCGAGACTAGATTTGTTGGATCTGTAATGCTTTTTACATTCTATATTGAACACTCAGAAATGTGCAACGGTAACTATTTAAGCATAGTTTATATATACACGGGTATATGAACGAATATATATATATATATATATATATATATATATATATATATATATATATATATATATAGGCACGTGATCGAATGGTTAGAAAGTTCGCATTCTGATCAGGAGACCAGGGTTCGAATCTCACCATGGTTGATTGCTCAGGAAGGAGACTTTCTGATGTTGTCGGATTAGAAAGGTTGATCCCAGGTAATGGAAAGGTACCATTGGAAAATTGACCCAAACCTTGTGAGTGAAATTGGGTAGACGAAACTCTTGGGCCGTCGATAGCTAGCACGAAGTCACAAATTATCGTGGCCGAGGGCTTGAGCGTGATGGCCTTTGTTAAAATTGTTGATCGCGCAAGATAACATGCTCTTTCTCAGAAACTGTAACTAATGTCTGCTCAGCATAGTTGCCGTATAAAGCACAGGTGGGCTCTGTGGGTGTTGAGCAAACACAAATGCGCCTAAGCAAGCGTCTGCAGTAGGGATTTGCTAGCCACCCTAGTAGATAGGTATCTTCGAATAGGAGTGTCTGGTTTATACAAACCATTGTCAATTAAAATTGCTGCTTAAATACACCTGTTGATGGAATGTAATCGTGTTACCTCGGTTTGGGTTTTGGAAGTTTTCAAGGATTTTAGAGGTGCACTCCTATATTGTCGTATCATCGGCATAGATGCTTACAAATGATCTGAGTATATTCACTGCTTACCAGTAGCCACCCTGATGATGATCTCAGAAAGAGATGGAAAGTACTTGAGAAATAAAAGTGATTTTCACGGTTACATTGCATCATTTGGTTGTAGTACACGGAAAAATATCCGTGGATATGAAAGGATTATGCTAAAAATAAGCAGACATAGGCTATAGAACCCAGTCTAATTACCCATAGCTGGAGGGAGAAGAGGATCCATAACTTTCCCAAGGCTATTAGCACGTAATGGGTTCGACTGTAAATCGAACTCGACTCTCAGTCCGAGCCGCTACCACCGTGCCTCTTTAATATATATATATATATATATATATATATATATATATATATGTGTGTGTGTGTGTGTGTGTGTGTGTGTGTGTGTGTGTGTGTGTGTGTGTGTTCAGATATACTATAATCCAATCGAAAAAAGTCGGAAAATGACAATTTTGTATTTTCCAAATAAGGACAAATAAAAGAGAGTATAAATTTTACACTTATTATTATTTAATCCGTTTTTCCAAAACCTTTGAGCCTACAAAGGTTGCCTTTTAGTTCTTCGTATTGAAGTACAAATGAAGCAGTTTTGATGGGTTCTTGACTTGGTGCAAACTGCTAAGATTGTATTCCAGCTTATGAATAAATGAAGGTCAAAATAACACTTCAAGTTAGAATGTTATGATTTAAGGCGAGAATTGGGCGAAACTTTAACTATAATTTGTCTGCACTTTTGTCTAAACTAAATTTACGTAGAAAGCATTGATGATCAGAATGAAAGGCAATGTGAATGGTCGAATAAATTTTAAAGTAACTATTATGGAACTGTCATCTGGATAATGTAAAAGCTTTGCAAATGGTTTTATTATAAATAAATAGGAAATAATTTTGCTTTAGAATTGCACTGAAAACTTAAAGAAAGGCATTGTTAATGGCCACGAATTGAATTAATGGGAGTATTTTTTTTTGTTTTTACAGCAAAGAGCTATTATCTGCGTGCCTGTGTATATTTATTATGTAAGTGCGTGTATGTGTCCCTCTCTTACTTTCTGTTTTCTATCCCTCTTTCTGTTTTCTTTCCCTCTTTCTGTGTTCTAAAGTGAAAATTAGACAGGAAAAATAGTTTAATGGAGGGATGCTTTCACTTCATATCATGCATTGCAAAGATTTTACGAATGAAATTCATTGTAAATATTTTGACTACAAATACATAGAGAATCAGACAGAGTAAGATTACCCATGAACAAGAATTGATTGCTTTTTTTTTACTGGAAGGATACTGGTAATATAAGTATAGAATATAAATGTATATATACATATACAACCATATGGCTGCGTTTGTGTGCATTTGAATTTCCATCGGTATTTGTTTAAATGCATGAATAAACCGAACAATTACAAAAAAAAGGTTAGTCTACGAAACTCTGGGGTCGGCATAGTGAATATAGCATCAATCAGCGAAGTGACAAAAATTATAATTGAAATAATATATATATATATATATATATATATATATATATATATATATATATATATAGATAGATAGATAGATAGAGAGAGAGAGAGAGATAGATAGATAGATAGATAGATAGATAGATAGAGAGAGAGAGATAGATAGATAGATAGATAGATAGAGAGAGAGAGAGAGAATGAGAAAGAAAGACTTGGTTGGTGAAAGACTAGGAGGAGGATAACCCTGAATTCAAAAATGTGTGGTTGGCTATGCACAAGCCTTCACCATTATAATCAAATGAGATGTGTGGGTAGTCTGACTGTTGCTTCTAAGATCTGAACTACATGACACTCATACTTCGGAAAGCAACAGGACAATCCAGTACACACACACACACACATATATATATATATATATATATATATATATATATATATATATATATATATATATATATATATTCAAGATTTTGGTTAAATAATTTAGATATATTATGCTTGTTTATTTTGGTTTCGATCCTTTCATGTACATAATTTAATTTGTTGGTAGCTGTGGTAAATTGATTAAAAAAATAACAAAATTTTCTTTCAAATATTTTTTTTTATTTTCCCAAGTACTTTCAATCTAATCTGAGACCATCTTCAAGGGGTTAAATTGTTTTACAGTTTATACAAACATTTGTTGAAAATACATGTATATTACATAAAAATTATAAAAATAAGCAAAAATTTTTAAAAAAATCCTAGACGCCTTTTATGAAGATATTTAAAGACAAAAATGGATAAAGTCTATTATGATTATAGCAACAAAGTTCTTAAATATTTCTCTCAGCAAAATATTTTATATATCTATATATATAAATGTATATAATGTTATATTTTATATATATATATATATATATGTTATATTATATATATATATATATATATGTGTGTGTGTGTGTGTGTGTGTGTCTGTGTGTGTGTGTATGAGAATAAACATATAATAAATAAAGAAAAAAATTTCCCTCCGTTACACTGTGGAAGAGGAAAAATACGTGATATTTGAATTTGAAATCTAGAACGCTGCATAAAGCAGTAAAACAAACAGTTAAAAATGTTTTGAATTTACAGAAATACATATACACATTCGCAGACAATTTAACCCCCTGGAGATGGTCTCAGATGAGAGTGAGAGTACTTGAGAAAATGAAAATTATTCAGAAACTTGAGTAAAATTATTTGAATATTTGCTGATCCATACATAATTGAATCATCTCTGGGAGAAGAAACTGGGTTACTGAAGAGACTTCAAATATTATTTATCCACGCAAGTGCGTGCATAAAATAATAGTAATAATAATAATCAAAGATCACAAAAACAGAATGTTCTTTCTTGTTGTTCCTGCATATTGTCTTTGTAGATCTGAAAAAAAAAAATTAATCCTGGATAGGACGTTAAACTACATCCGTGTCCTGGGTAAGACTTTAAACTACATCCGCGTCCTGGGTAAGACGTTAAACTACATCCGCCTCCTGGGTAAGACGTTAAACTACATCCAGCAGCAAGGCCTCTGATCAGGAGATTTTGTGGAGCGTTGATCCACCTCTTAATTGCTGGTGTTCCAAGATCCACCCTGACAAGTGGTGGTAGCACTTGTTAGGGTCCCACCTATGGACAAATAGTTTACTATTACCAGCAATACTTTTTTGGAATAAATTATTACCAGCAATACAATTTTGAAGGAAATATATTACCAGAAACAATGTTGTCGGCATTAAATAAACCATTGAGTTTGATATGACGTTAAACAAAATAAACCGAACCAATCTAAACCAAAGAATGCATATTCTATTGATACGAATGTATCCTAAAAATGTTGTCGGCATTAAATAGCCCATTGAGGTTGATATGCCGTAAAACAAAATAAACCAAACTAATCTAAACCACAGAATATATATTCTATTCATAAGAATCTATCCTAAAAATGTTGGCGGCATTAAATGACCCATTGAGGTTAATATGCCGTTATACAAAATAAACCAAACCAAACCAATCTGAAAAAATAATAAATATCTAAATCTTGACATAGAAATATAAAAAAATGTTGCATATGAGGAAATCAACAATTTCAATTGTAGTTGGAACCCTCGGATTGATTGTAAATATTCCGATAGACACATTCAAGGGATTCCTGGAAGTCAATTCCTTAAAGAAATACAAGAAATTGTACTCACTGGTACAACTCACGCATTCTTCTGTGGTTTATCTATGTAAAACGTGTTTGATTTTAGGTCTTTTTTTTTTACAAGAAATGATCAGTGGAAGATGTCAGGAAAACATTTCTGACCTTAGGTCTCTGGTTGGGATCCGGAAAAAATATGTACACAACAGAAATCAAAAGAAATAATAATAATAATAATTGCAGATCAGGATCAAAGCCTTGCAACCAGATCCCATCACTGTTACATCATCAAGGATGTATCTAACGGAAAATGCAGGATCTGCGGTAAATATAATGAAATTCTCCACCATATAATCTTAAAATGCCCGCAACTGGCAAAAAATGAATATTCCCAGAGACATAACAAGGTAGCGACATATGCGTACTGGAAGATATGCAAGAAGTACAAAATCGAAACCACTGAGAGATGGTATGACCACTATCCTGATAGTTAACCAAAATAATGATGTACCTATCGTCTGAGACGTCAATTCAAACTGTCATGGGAATAAAAGTCAACAGATCTGATATTATCATAAAAGACAAGAAATTCCTTAAGTGTATGCATATTGATATAACAGTACCATTTGAAAGAAACACTTTCATGAAAATTATCGAGAAATTTTCCAAATGCAAGGACCTGGAGATCGAGATAAACAGGCAGTGGGCAATGAAGAATGAGACTGTACAAATATTAATCGGGGCTCTGGGTTTCGTGAGAAAAGGTATGGACAATTTTACTAACAGTTTCCCAGGTAACATCAACATACATGTTGCCCAGAAAATCGCTTTCTAGGAACATCCCATATATTGGTATATGAAAAATAAATATGCATGGAAAAGAAAGAATAAATGAAATATATGAATGAATGAAAGAGAAAAAGAAAGCGAATACAAAACGGAAATGGACAAAGAGAACAAAACACACACGTACACACACACACTTATATATAAGTGAAGGAGGAAGAGAGAATGAAATTTTGAAGAAAGAATGAATCAATCAATCAAAGTAAGAAAGAATGAAAGAAAGAAATAAAAAAGAAAGGGCAATAGAGTGATAGAGACACAGAGAAATATACTAAATGATCTAAATGAATATATTACAAGAAACTGTTATTTTAAGAAAGAAAAATATATTGAAGAAATAAAGAAACTTATGAAAGAAACATATTGAATTTCGTGAAGTGTCTCTAAGTCCGAAATAGCATTGAATGTCACAACAAAAAGAAATAGAGTAGAAACGTATAAATTCTAAGAAATCAATGAAAAATTTGAAAAAAAAAATGCACAAAAAATAAATATACAGTAAACGTTATATATGAAATAAAATAAAGATGAAAAGATTTATGTGAAACGTTTTGCTGAAAATAAAGTCAGCAAAAAGAGAGATAAGAAAATGGAATTCGCAAAGTAAGGTTACAGCGTGCGCATTTGAATTATCGCATTTGTGTGTGCGTGTGTCGGAAGCTAATCGCCTAAAATCAGACGGAAATTTTTAACTTGCCACCAGAATAATAACTTTTTGAATTAAGATATATTTGAATAGCGCACAGCATTCGGCTGGTACAAAAATATAGCTTTACTGCATCCATCTTGCTATTAGCCAAATACGTTTTCGCGGGAAATAATTCTGCGTGTGGACACGCACATGCACACACGCACATATATAGACAAAAACAATAAAACACACACGCGAGCGCGAGCGCGCACACACACACACACACGCGAGCGCGAGCGCGCACACACACACACACACACACACACACACAAACACACACACACACAGGAACGCACGCACACACACACATATATATACATATATATTTTTAACATTTTTATTGTTCAAGACATATATATATATATATATATATATACATGCACACACATAAACATACACCGTTGCGTTTGCTGAAAAGTTATCGGCTTATCATACTGCTAAGAATTTGGTAAATAAAAGTGACCTAGTCGTACTGAAAACATTTCATCATCTTTCCGTGTATGCGTGTGTGTTTTTATATATGAGTGTATCAGTGTGAGTCTTTGTGTGTGTGTGTGTGTGTGTGTTAAAACGAGATGTAGACAGATAAATACCCGTGCATGCGTGTATGGATGGATGCAAGGATTGATGCATTTATCTTCAATAGCTACAATCAAGAAAAAATATATTTTCAGACATATAAATGTGTCTGTTTATTTGTTTATTTCGATATAAGAGGAAGGAACAACAATGATGTTTCAAAGTTTATTCTTCTATATATTTGCCGATATTTAATAACTTCTTTAAATATGGGGAATACAGCAATGGTCGAATTCACTTCATTTGGAGAGTAAGCTCCAGGAGAACAATATTTTACGCCTTCTTGTGCTCAGGTTTTTCCACTGCCGTAAAGTGGGGCGTCTATATTGAATCAATAGCTATTTCTACTTCAAGGAAAGTTGGTTCAGTGTGTTGTGACAGAAAATCTTTCTCGTCAGAATCCATCTTGCATATTTATAAATCTACTATTCGTCTGTGCATTGAATACAGTTACCATATCTGGTTTGGTTCTCCTGTTGCATAGCTCGTGCTTCTTGAACATTCAAAGAACGTTCTGTAATGTAATCGATCGTGACCAAGAATCATGACTGCAGTTTCCTTCTCACCGACGTGACCTAGCTTCTCTCTGTCTTTTCTACAAATATGTTCATGGCAACTATTCTGATGAGCTTTCTCCACCCCCTAATATCTCCACTACATGAATTTAAGCGTGCTACTAGATTGGCAATTAGGTCTCACTAGGTTCTTTTCTCACACTTCTAACTTGTCGGAATTCCTTCCGATTTCTCGTTTTTCTGCCACTTACAATCTTCAAAAATTTACACGCATCCTCAATCGCTATCTTCTGTCTTCCAAAATCCTATTCTTTTATTGTCCCTTCCTCACTCGTCCTAACTGAAGTTTACTCATTTTCTTTCATTCCCTTTAACCATACCCACCCCCACCTCCCGAGTCCTAGTGGTTTTATCACCTTGGTTGTGGTGAA